AGGAGATTTCCTTGTCCTCCCAGGATCGGAGCTGTTGGTCTAGTTTATGTAAGAGTGGCGTATGGTTTTCCTTTATTGTCAATGTGTGTGAAATTGGCAGTTTTATGCCCAGATATGAGATGGAGGATTTCCTCCAGTCAAACGGGTACAGTGTTTTAAGGTGTGAGAGGAGGGTATGGGGCAGTCCCAATGCCAGCGCTTGTGTTTTTTTGGCGTTATTCTTATAGTAAGACATCTTACCGTATCTTCCTAATAGTGTTAGCAAGGATGGTAGTGATGTCTCAGGGTGTGTTATAAAAAGGAGAACATCATCTGCGAAAAGGGCTATTTTTTCCTCCCCTATAGGCGTTGATAGGCCCGTAATATCGTGGTCGGATTTAATATGTCTGATTAGGGGTTCCATACAGAGAATAAAGATTAGAGGAGAGAGCGGACACCCTTGTCTAGTACCGTTTGTTATATGAAAAGGTTGTGACAGGAATCCGGAGTTGAATATTTTGGCTGACGGCTTGGAGTATAAGACCATTATGCCTTTCAGGAATTCTAGAGGGAAGCCCATGTAAGTCAATACAGATCTCATGTATGTCCAATTCAAGCGATCAAACGCTTTTTCCGCGTCTAGGGCTAATAGTAAGCCCTTCTGATTAGTATTTTGGGCCCAAGTAGTTAAGTTTAAAAAATGGCGCGTGTTGTCCCCAGGTTGTCTGTTCGGGACGAAGCCTGCCTGCTCCAGAGAGACCAAATCCTGTAGGATGGGTTGGATGCGTGAGGCTAGTAATTTGGCATACAATTTTGTGTCAGCATTCAGCAGCGAAATAGGCCTTAGGTTGGCGCATTCCGTAGGTGGTTTACCCGGCTTAGGGAGTGTAACAATATGGGCTAGCAACATCTCTTCTGGCATGGAGCCTGAGTCCCTAAAGAAATTAAAAAGGTCTGTAAGGTATGGTGTGAGTTGTGCTTCGAATATGTGATAAAAGCGGTTGGGAAACCCATCTGGCCCCGGGGCTTTGTGTTTGGGTAACTTTAATATAGCTTGGCGCACTTCGTCTTCCGTGAACTTAGCTAACAATGTCTGCCTTTGATGTACAGACATGCATGGCAGATTTGCCTCACCCAGAAAAGTGTCTATTTCAGGTTCTAGCGGTTGGTGTAATGATGTATCTTGTGTAAGGTTGTATAGGCCTCTGTAAAAGTTCCCTAATTCGCCCACTATGTCCTGCGGGTTAAATAATTTTGTACCCGTGGCCGAGGTCATGTATGGGAGTTTTGTTTGTATGTATCGCGCTTTTAGACGATTTGCTAGCATTTTGCCTGCTTTATTTCCTTGCATATAGTATGTCAGTTTTAGTTTGCGTAATTGCCTTTCCGTAATGAGTAAAGACAGTGCATGTAACCTCCCTCTTGTCTGTTCAATCTGTTGGGACAATAATCTAGATGGTCTCAATTTGTTAGCCTTTTCTAGTGTCTGGAGCGATGCAAGTAATGTGTCATTTTCGTTGTGAGCTTTTCGTTTGCGTATTGACCCTGCTTGTATTAAGAGGCCTCTGAGTACAGCTTTGAGGGCCAACCATTTGGTGTCTATGCGGGAGGGATCTGTTTGATGGTTCTCATAAAACATTTGTATGTTTCTACGTATTGTGGTGACCGTGTCAGTATCGTCTATGAGGGATTCATTCAAACGCCACGCATTCCGTCCTCGAGCTGGGTATAGGGCCCTGAACGTAGTAGTTACTGGTGCATGATCAGACCAGGTTCTGTCACCTATTTGCACTTCCATAACATTCGAGATTGTGTTCTTGTCTACCCAACACATGTCAATGCGCGAGTATGTGTGGTGTACCTGTGAGAAGTAGGTGTAATTTTTCTCATTCGGGTAGAGTGATCGCCATGTGTCATACAGGTCGTTCGTGTGAAGCAGTTTACTGAGAGTGAGGCTCATATTGTGAGCTTGCTGGAGTGGTTGTTTGCCTTCTATACGTTTAATGTCTAAATTGGGATCCAGTGTACAGTTTAGATCTCCACAAAGAATAGTGTGACCTTCCCGGAGGCTAAGTATTTTGTGCAACGCTCGTTTTATGAATGTAGTCTGGGAGTCGTTAGGGGCATATATGGATGCTATCGTCAATTTCATGCCATTCATTGAGCCCACCACAACCAGAAGTCTGCCTAGCTCGTCTACGTATGAGTTGGTGAGTTGGAATACCCAATCTACGTGGAACAGTATTGCCACCCCTCTTGTTTTGGTTGGGGAAAGAGCATGAAACACTTGTTGGTATTTGGAAGATGTTAGGGTGGGGGGCTTGTTTTTACACATGTGTGTTTCTTGGAGGCATATTATAGCTGCCTGTGATTTGTGCATCGCTCTAATCACCGAGCTTCTTTTGAAGGGACTGTTTAGGCCATTGACATTCATAGAAAAGCATTTAAATTGATATGTCATTACTAGTATGAGGGATGTTGCTGTCTCTTATCTTTTTTTTTGTAAATTCTTTATTTTTGAAAGGTTTTTGTTGGTTCATGGGGTGGGGGTACAGAATTGAAAGTGGTGGGTTAAAGCTTGTGGTACAGTGTTTGCAGAATGTACATTGTTTCTGCATTGCTTCATAGATGCATACCTTAGACATTTGTCAGCAGATGCAATTAATATCAATTGTCTGGATTCTGTGATTTTTCGTATTATGGTGGAGGTCGTAGGAATTTTTGGATCTGCCCACAGTTCCGCTACCGCTCTCCGCGCTGCGAGGTTGATCCGGGCTGCCAGTTTATTTTCGCTCCTGGTAAGGGAGTCTTGCGGTTTGTTGAGAAGCATAGCCCACGGTTGTGCAGTGACCGGCTTGTCTAGGATTGTTTCAATGAGATTGTTTACTTTGACCCAAAGCGGTTTGAGTTTGGGACATGTCCACCAGCAGTGGAGGTAGGATCCAGTGGCTCCGCACCTTTTCCAGCATTCATCATCGGGTTTTTGGCCCATTTTGTAGAGTCTGTGTGGTGTCAGGTACCAGCGTAGCATCGTCTTGTAGGCCTGTTCCTTATGTGTGACGCAGACCGTAAGGGAGTTTGTCGCCTCCCAAATTTCGGCCCAGTCACTCGGGTTCTCTGGTGGTCCCAAGTCCCGTTCCCATGCGGCGATGTAATTGAGGTTGACTTGGGAAGCGTGAGTCGTCAGTGTATTGTAGATAATGGAGATTTGTCCCGGTTGCAGGGGCGCGTCGAAGCACTGTTTTTCAAACGCCGTCGGTGGTGAGGTGCCCGCTTGTTTGATCATGGGCTGTTGCGCCAGGTCCCGTAGCTGTATGTACCGGAAGTGATCTGCCGTGTTCAGCGTTTCCGCATGGGGAAGTTCGTCATACCTGAATATTTCCCCCTGACGGTACAGATGGAGTAGCCTCGAGATGTCTCGCTGGTCAAACGCTAGGAAGTGTTTCGCCGTCATCCCGGGGGGAAAGAGTTTGTTGTGGTATATCGGTGTTACCGGGGAGAGGAAGGAGGATAGGTCATATTTTGGGTTGAGCTTGTCCCAGAGAGTTAGAGTGTGGGTGATTGCCGGTGAAGTTGGTGGGGGGAGTGGTCGATGTATGCGCGGTACCCACATGTACGAGGAAGGTTGGTCCCAGCCCAGGATGTCGTGTTCCAAGTCCACCCAGCGCTTGGTACCGGGGGGGGCATGCCATTGTTGGATGTGGGCCAGTTGGGCAGCATGGTAATATTGCTGAAAATTGGGTAGCCCCAGTCCTCCTCTGAGTCTTGGGGTGTACATAGTAGCTCTGCGTATTCTGGGTCTTTTGGCTTTCCAGATGAATTTGTCTATGGCTGCCTGGAGGCGATTGAAGTCCGTTTTGAGTATCGGGATGGGCAGCGTTTGGAAAAGATAGAGGAACCGCGGGAGGAGGTTCATTTTGATGGTGGTGACTCTTCCCAGCCACGATATTCCTAGCCTGTCCCACCGCTGCAAGTCCGAGTACGCCGTTGTGAGGAGTGGCGTGTAGTTGAGGCCATAGATGTCGTCCAGTGTCGGCGCTAGTTTGGTGCCTAGGTATGTAAGGGCGGTCGTGGTGATGCGGAAGGGAAAGGAGCCGCGAAGCAGACGGAGTTGCGAGGGTGATATTGTGATAGGCATTAGCGTTGATTTAGTTATGTTGATTTTATAGCCGGATATGGTGGCATAGTCGTCGATGATAGAGAGTATGGCGTGTAGGGAAGGGACAGGGTCCGTCAACGTTAGAAGTACATCGTCTGCGTAGGCTGCTACGGTGTACGTGTCTTGCCTGATCCGAACTCCCTGTATGTTGGGATGGGTGCGTATAGCTTGAAGCAATGGTTCCAGGGAGATTGCAAAAAGAAGTGGGGAGAGGGGGCATCCTTGCCTAGTTCCGTTAGCTATGTTAAAGGTTTGGGCTTCGACGTGTGGGAGTAGGAGCTGCCCTGTTGGGCGATTGTATATTGCCCGTAAGATGTTCAGGAATCCTATCGGGAAGTTCAAGTGTGCCAGTACCCCGAACATATATGGCCAGAGAAGACGATCAAATGCCTTCTCGGCATCCAGCGAGAGCACTACCGATGGGATGTTACGGTGCCTGGTATACCAGATCGTATCGTAGGCTCTCCTGGTATTGTCGGCTGCCTGCCTTTTGGGAATGAAGCCGACCTGGTCTGGGTGGATCAAGGATGGGAGGTGCTGGTTGAGGCGGTTGGCAAGGGTCTTCGTGAGTTTTTTCAGGTCGGTGTTTAAGAGCGATATTGGGCGATAGTGTCCCGGGTCAAGCTGTTCCTTCCCAGGCTTGGGCAAGAGGCATATGTCTGCTCGCAGCATGTCAGTGGGGAGTTTGTGTCCCTGCAACAGCGAGTTAAAGGCCTTACATAAATGTGGTATTAGTATGGTCTGGAATGTCTTATAGTAGATGGCTGTGAAGCCATCCGGTCCTGGGCTTTTTCTGGGTTTCAGTGTCTTGAGGACCAGGGCGATCTCCTCGGCCTCGATGGGTGTGTCCAGCATGGCTTGCGCTCTGCTGGATAAGGTGGGTAGGTTGAGGGGTCGTAAGAATGAGGAGGTGGCTTCCGCCTGGTTTATTTCCCCCGTGGGCGTTGGAGTGGCGTGGTTGTACAAGTCTGTATAGTATTGCAGGAATTCCTGGGCTATTGCTTCTGGGTTTGTCGTCGTTTCACCAGACCTAGTTCGGATTTTCGATATTGTCTTATTTTCCTGACGTTTTTTGAGGCAGCGTGCCAATAGTGAATCCGCCTTGTTGCCCTTTTCATAGAATCGTTGCTTGGACCACATGAGATTCCTCGCCACGTCTGCTGCTGAGAGTTGTGTGATGAGGTCCCGTGTCGTTTTGAGCTGCGTCAGGAGCGAGTCTGACGGATTTTGTTTATGTAGGGTTTCAAGTCTTGTTAAGTCAGCCAGGGCGTCTACCATTTTCCGTAGGCGTTGCTTTTTGAGGGCCGTGGCTATTGCTATTAGGTGTCCTCTGATCGTTGCTTTATGGGCTGCCCAAACCGTTGTCGGCGCCATGTCGTCGGTGGCGTTGAGTTCAAAGTAGGTTTTAAGGTTTTCCGACACTGTGTGGACCGTGGCCGCATCTTTGAGTATCCATGGGTTGAGTTTCCATCGCCACGGGCGCGCCCTTAGTGGGATCTGTATCGTCAGAGCGACTTCCGCATGATCGGACCACGCAATGTTTCCAATGTGTGTGTGAATGGTCCAGGGCTGGACGGCTGGGGATATGAGGAAACTATCGATACGGGAGTATGACTTGTGTGCGTGGGAGTAGAAGGTAAAGTCCGCGGCGGTCGGGTGTTGGAATCTCCAGGCATCCAGTAAAGGGGTTTCCAGTAGAAAATCTGCATATAATTTGTCGTTCCTGGTCGAGGAGGGTGCGCTACCGGACTGAGATCTGCGGTCTATGGCAGGCGTGTGGGTCGCGTTTATGTCTCCTCCTATGATTAGGTGTTTGGCTGAGAGGCTAGTGAGGTGGGTCTTAAATGTGTTCCAGAATGTTGCATCCGGGTTGGTAGGGGCATACAGGGAGCATATTGTTAGTGTAGTCGTGCCCGCTCGTCCTGTGAGGAAGAGGAATCTCCCTGAGGGGTCTTTGCGGGTTTGTATATCATCCAGAGGGCACGAGTTTCGCAGCAATATTGCAACTCCTTTCGTTTTTGCTTCTGGCGAGTTGGCCAAATAATATCTCTTATAGTGCCTATTAAGTAGCGGGAACTGCTTGTGATCCGTGAAGTGGGTTTCCTGAAGTAGGACGACGTCCGCTCCCGTGCGGTGGGCCCAACGTAGTATCCCATGTCTTTTCCCTGGCGAGTTG